AAATTTGTTTTCAAAGAAATAATATTCGGAATGGCATAAATAAAGTGAAAGTAATTAAATAGTCAAAAATTTTTTTCTTTTTTTGCCATTACATTATACAGAACGGAAGTTGGGGGTTCTCCCCTTTCTCCGTAAAATCTCGAATATTGAAACTGTTACAGTTCGCAGCAAAGCAAGGAATGGACTTTTTTTTTTTGTCACTTTCCCATCTGAATTGAATAGGACTAAAAGTTCTGCGGTGTACCAACCCAAGCGAAGAATGATTCTATTCCAGAAATTTAACGCAGTCTGTTCAAAATTAGAATGACAAGCACCCCAGATTGGTAAATCTCTTTATTAATCAATATGAGTAAGGCGACGTGTCCGCTCAATGATAAATATGCCACATGAGCGCATGACTGTGAAAACCGGATGAAGCAAAGGGGCGTTTTCCTTTATTTAGTTATTTATTCTCCGAATACCGGCAGCTGTTGATTCCGATTACGTAATATCACATGTGGAAGAATTAAGGCAGACGTATTGCGCAATAACGTTTGTGATATTTCACAGAGATAAAAGAGTCTTGCTGTGCTTGCTAAGCAGATTAATTTTCAGTTCCATTGGACTATTTTTTTATATGATGCACATATCGAAATGTCGAGCATTATTTAGCTGAAAAATCTAAAGAATGGCTACAACTTTTCATAAGTATTATGATTTCTTGTGGGAAATTAATTGTGTTGATGCATTTGATCAGGTGTTGAATGCATGAACCACAACGTGTTGAATGCCCCTTTGATGTCTCTAGAGATAATTAAAAATGTGGAGGCCTTGTTCTCTATTTGTCTGTATATTGTTAATGAGTTTATTAACTGCGTGTTCTGTAGAGATCCCCTTCCTGAATCCAAAGTGTAATTCACTGATAATGCTGTTTCTTCTAAGATAGTAATGTAGATGATTCAAGAGTACCTTCTCCATAACTTTACTAAGGGAGAGCAGGAGGCTGACCGGCCTGTAGGATTGTGGGTCTGTGGAGTCCCTTCCTACTTTAAGAGAGAGAACCACCACCTCTTCAGTTTTCATTTGATCAGAGAAAGTACCCACTCTCCAGCAGGCTTAACATAATGTGAGTAGGAGCTCTGGGAATTACTGTAGCTCTTTCAGCATTGCATTGTCAATGCCGTCTGGACCTAGAGCCTTGTCAATAGAGATATTGTGTATAATTCTATTTAGTTCCGACTGTGTTGGTGGTACCTAGTCTCTGTTACTGCTGCTTCAGCTGTATGTTTTTTCCAGGATTCATTCTTAGCTTTCATAATAGCTTTCTTGTACACTGCCCTTTCTTTTCGGTAAACAAGCATCTTTTTAGACCTTTGTTCTGTGTCAGTTTCTTTCTAGGGTTTCCAACAGAGTGCCCTGGCCTTGCTTCTCATGACTGTGAGTACAGTTCTCCACCAGGAAATTGAAGCTTTTTTTTTTTAGCGTACTTTTTCACTTTATAGACTATTTTTGCTGCTGTCATGAGCATTTGTATAAGGTTGAAGTAGGCAGTATCAATTTCTTCCTTTGTATTACTCTCCTTCAACTCCTCTATGAGCCCCTGGACCATTGGCTGGACAAAAACTTTGAATTTTTTGTGACCACCATACTTTGTCTTAAAAAGTTGCTTGGCAATGTAAACAACTTGGGAGTCTAGATTGAATTTGATGATTCTGTGATCACTAAGAGATGGTGTCTCAGATACCTCCCAATTGCACATCTGAGGGAATAGTGAGGAGGAGTCCAGTGTCACATCTGGTCATCCCTGTGCTCTGATAGTGAGGAGGGTGGGTGCAATTATTAAATACTGCCAACCTATGAGATTTAATTCCTGTAGCTTGATATTTAAGTCCCTACTTGGAGGAAAATAAAACACTCATTATGACTAATTTGATGTTAGTAGTCTCTAAAGTACTCTAAAGTAAATACTGCCAACCTATGAGCTGTGCCAAATTCTACAAGGCTATGTGCTCTAATATTTTCAGAGCAAGTGCCCCAAAGGGGCTTGTTGCATTAAAATCACACTCCAAAACATAAAATTTTGGATTAGGCACTACAGTGAGATTTAATTCCTGTAGCTTGATATTTAAGTCCCTACTTGGAGGAAAATAAAACACTCATTATGACTAATTTGATGTTAGTAGTCTCTAAAGCCATTGTGACAGTATTTTCTGTCTTGTCAAGGAAAAATGGTGCGAGGGGGCCCCTGTTTTGAAATTGCTTATCACTACAAAACCGATTCAATCCAAATCCTGTCCATTCCGCATTATTTCTCATTTCTTTCAGATGGTCTTCTTTATTTCTTCTTTCTTACACCACTTTAATTAATTATTATATGTACTATATGTTGAAAATGGGAGAAAAAAAGCTATTTTTGAAGAAAAAAGAGGTTTTAATTAATGAAAATGAAAAGGCAACACTTTTATATACATGTTCTGTACAGTATTTACAAGTGCTGAAAGTCTTTGATTGCTGAACATCTCGGTCAAAGTAAGCTGTTTGACTATCTTCATCCATTTTCGGGCAGCTAAGTCATGCATCTGCTTGATAATGAGAAGTTGTATGTGGTCACATTCGGGCTGACACTCCATCTACTTCAACGCAGTTTCAAGGCCGGCAAACGCTTCACTAGCTGATTGTCCCATGTCTGCTTCAACTTCGACATTAAGGTTATCTTCTTCCTCAGCACTTTCTTCTCTCATACTTTCAATAAGTTCATCATTTAGAATATGAAACCCAAGGTCTGACGAATCACACACCACCCATGACAAATTATATGCCATCACACGCCATTTGCTCCTTTTAATGTCTGAAATCGTTGATTGTCCAACACTGTACATCTCAGCAATAATAACACAATACATTTTCTTTTACTGTGGCTGTGGTGAACGACAAAATGCACTCATAAACAAAACAATGCACCGACGTAGAAAGAATATCACCATAGTACTGTAGGAGGTCAACAATCCGCTGACTGATTAGTAATCAAAATAAACAGTAACAGGTGGTCCGGGCCAGCCACCTGTAATGGATAACAGTACTGTAGTCAATAATAGAATTGCACTATGAGACGGTAACTCGTTATCCCAATAATGTTCGTACTACGCCTACACTAGCTTCGCAGAGGGAAGGACAATAGTGTGCAAAGACAGAATCACTATTTTGTGAATGATAGTACGTTTCTTTTGTGTGACTCCATTTTTTTTTCCCTCTATATTGACAGATATAAAATCAGACATCAAACTGTGATATGGATAATGCAAGTTCAACAGCCAGTGAAAGTGAAGCTTCACCTAATTTTCTTATTCATCTTAATCCGTGTTTCTCAATTCCCTGTACACGTGGCGGAAGAGGAAAATCTTGGCCAGGTCCAGTATATCATAGAGGCGGGATTCTCACCAAAAGGTTCCGTCGCCAAATCCCTTGCCGAATTTTCCCTCTTCTTTCTAGCGGCGTGGAAGACAAACTGGTTTACATTATGTCTATGGAGCCTTTCCTTCTTTACATAGATGTTCTTTGCTCCAATAGTCAGTAGTAGATTTCTCAGGATTTTCAACTTTATTAGCTGAGTCTTCCTCTGATCAGGATGCATACACATCAAAATTTAGGTGAGTGTGTTTTGGAAACTTCAAAAGGCATATAAATTTGTGGCAGAAATTTAAGTGTCAAGTACTGCAGTGGTTTGGTAGAAAATTTCTGCATGAATGATGAACTTTGATAAAAAAGTGAAAGCTCTTTTTGGTCTTCCTATAATTTCTGAGAGTAACTAAATCATGGGTGTCTGGTGAAGTCTACTAGCATGTTGTGCAAAAGAAGACTTTTCCATCGCAGATGTGCAGGGATTGTGTAGGAAATGAAAGCATTTTTATTGGTATGGATGTTTGTTCCTTGGATAGGGAAGCACTTAAAAGTTTTATTGTGCCAGAAATATATCTAGTTTATCAGTAAGAAAGGCAAATATCTCTAATTTTAAGAATACATTATAATATCCTTCAAGAGATCATCCTTTTGCTCCTAAATGTTTAACAGGTATTATAAGTTAAGACTTGTAGTAGAGAACTATACATACAGATACAAGAATTTGTATGTATTTAGTACCTTAGATATATTTTAATGTATTATTTTAATTCAGCATTATGTTAAAATATGAGGAGAAATGTGTATAAAATTATAGGAAAAGCCCAGTTATCTGGCATTCAGTTAACCTAGAAGCTCAAGTAGCTGGAACATTTTAATTTTTCTAACTTCTTGTTTTACCTTTTCCCCCCTCCTTCCACCCTTTTTCTCATAACCAATCAGAGATTTGTAAAGCCATCATAAAGCATGTGTGCATGTGTAGGATTATTACTCAAAACAAACAAAAAATGTTGCCAGTATAGTTAAACACCAATAACGGATAAGATCTTCATTTTAATTTTAAGATTTAGTCATTTTGACTTTGTATCCATAATTTTCACTTGTCCAGAATTTGACATTTCTCAAGCTTTTTTAGATAGTTGGCCTTTTAGTGCACTGTGAGCAAAATAATATTCTTCTATTTCTTATCATAAGTGAAATGGTACATGCCTAAAAATGTAATATTTAATTCTGTTTGTGATCATATATTATTTCATTTATATTGTGTACATCATTGAAAATGTTTTCCTTCTGTATTTTTGTTTCTTGCTCTTTTCCCCCTTTTTCTGTTTGTTTATTTTGCAACTTTTTTTGCTTATGAGTGATTAAGTAATTTATATTCATCTGTAGGGCAGTATAGTATACTTATACATAGTTTTTATACTCTTGCCATCTGTTACTTTAGATAGAAACAATTCTAATTTATAAAATTGTTCTAATAATTTTTTTCACCTAATTTTTTAATAGCTTTTCATTTACATTATGTTCATTTTTTAAATATTATTGAAAAGTGTTTTATTTCATATTTTATTGTAAATTAAAAAGTGCATTCTTAATTTAAATATCATGTTGTGTTCATGTATTAGTTATTTCGCAAAGATCTCATAAGTGCAATGAAGTTGCCTGATAGTGAACCATTGACTCCAGATGATTATTGGCTAATTGAAGATTCTTGGAAACCTGAATGGGAGAGGGGTGTCCAGGTTCCTGTATATCCTGAAGCTCTACCTGAGCCACATATTAGGTATGTCTTGACATATATCAGTTTACTGGCATTTTAGCTAAATTTTTCAATATAACTTTGATAACATTCATCCTTTTTTATTATTATTTTTTCAGCTGCATAAGTTGAGCCAAAAGATTGTTTTTGCGATGTTATCTCTGTCTTGAAGTTTTAAAATTTTTAGCCTATTTGCAATTTTTTTTTTTTTTTTTTTTTTTTTCCCAAATTGCTATAATATTTTTCCCATCAATGGCTGAGTGATAAGATTGCTGAATGCTAGTAGTACAATCCTGGCTCATATCCTGTTAAATGGGTTGACTTGCATGAGATTTTCTGTCATTTTCCCCATGTGACATGAATATGAACCACTTTCTCTTGAAACATCCTCCATTAAGCTATTCTTCCCATAAGCATATAGCCGTGATATATTTTGTCATAATCACCCTACTTCCTATTAGAGTTAACTGCTTTGTAAATTGATCCAGAAAGTGAAATTGCAGTAATGCCATTGTATTTGAATTTTCAAATTTTTACTACAGTTTTTGTGTTAAAATTTTCACTGCTTAATATTATAGTTAACTTCTGTGTTGGTCTTCTGCATTTCTTTCTCCTGTAACTGTACATTTTGTCATTTTGTGATAGATTTAAACAATGCTTTTGATTATGATTATTAGTAATGGTATAAAGATGCCAATTTAGAAGTTCTTAGGAGCTTTGATCAAATGATAAAAGCTAAATATTCCAAAAGCACAAATTTAAATTTAAAAAAAAAAAATCCATCTTATGTCGCAATGTAGCAAGTACAAAAATATTTTTTAGGAGAATATGAGGTAAGTTTTTTCCATTTTTGAATAAGCATTTTTCTTGTCTTGGTGCTCTACTTAAATCATTATTTCCAATTAATTGCTGTTTTGTATTGTTATTTATTAAATATTAATTTTATTACTCTTTATCAAAAGGGGGAGAAAACTTTATAAATTAAAATAAATAAATGAGTGAAGCTAATCTTGAAAAATTTTGTTATAGTTGCATTTAATTACGTCTAATTTTTGTTACTGTTTATTATTATTACTGAAAGCTTGACCTGATGTGTTTCTTGTTTCATTGTAGAGTTTTAAGGAAGCAGAATAAAGAAGCAAATTTCAAGCTGTAAGTATTGTTTAATTTTATTCTTTATCAATTGTTGAAGTACATTTTAAATAAACTGCATTGTATTGAAATGCTCTGTATGAAAATCTATGATAATTCTTTGCAATCTCAGATTGACAAGTGTATTTTACTTTTTCATGCTTTTATGTTACTTTCCATTGTGAAATCGCCTGAAGTCTGTAAACTAAACTGGCATTACATTTATAGCAAATGGTGCATTACAATAGCTATGTTAAATTTATTGTGTTTTAAACATGCTCAAAGAAAAACAAAAAATCTTAGAGATTTGGAAAAAGAATTGTTCCATGTCACGTTTAAAATAAGCAATGAAGGAGACAGAGGTGAAGGAATTAAACCTGCACAGCAGTAAATTCAGACACTGAAAGCAGTTTAAAACTCATGTTTTGATTTAACAATACTTCTCGCAGTCTGCTGTCTTGTAACATCATCTGCATACAATAGAGAAATATTTTCTTTTTGTAAAGAATTTTTTTATTTTATTGATTTCTAGAGATGGTGTCATGAGGGGCATGAAGGGAATTTTAGTGTTGTGTGCTCATTGCTGTTCTGCTTCTGATGGTGATAGAATTTTGGCCCTCTTAGTTTGTAGCTTGATTCCTCAACCAGTCAGACCAAAAACTGGAGAAACACCATCATGTCAGTTCCATTATGATGAGTGATCAATCCACTGTATAAATCCTGTGCAGTGCTTTTCAGGGGTACCATATTGCTAGTCAATACCTGTAAAATTATCATAGCACAGGTGGGATTTAAATTGATAAGCATGATTGAGGTTTTTTTTTTTTTTTTTTTTTTTTTTTTGTATGTTTGACTGTTAGATTGTGGGGCAGAGTGTATGAATATCTGCTCAGTGCTGCTGAGTTGCGGTTGGATGAGCAGCTTCTCATCTACATTGTTCACCATTAAGAGTATAGTTTACTCTTTTTGCTTTGAGGTGTCATCTGTATTTGGAAGAGAAAACTATTTATTTTGTAGTGAATGGTGCTAATGCATCTCATGAGCAAAGTTGGTGTGCTACTGAAAATTCTTGGTGCATAGCTTGATGCTTCAGCTGATCAGGCCAAAAGCAAGTTCTAGGCATTCCTGAGCATTATGAGATCAGTGTCGTGTGGTGAGTGATGAATTTGAGTCTGTAACTAACTGCCTGTGGTGGTAATATGTTAGGATATTCATTCTGATGTGGGCTCATACGGATGTTGAATGCTCTTATGCAAAATGTTTTTCATATATATATAATTATTGTTTAGAAAGTTAGCATATTGCAAGATGGCTGTAACTTGAATCCTAATATGTCCTATATATGTTTCATTGGGGACAGGTTGGAAAACTTAGGTGGCCAAGAGACAGTTGTGTTATTTTACAAACATGCTGTGGAGATGATTGGTCATATGCAGTCTGACATTATTTTGATGAAAATTATCCAAAGTGGTAACAACAAGATAGCAGATTTCGAGATTTGTTTTATGTATCTCCAAGCAATTAAAATACAAGAAAGGGTTACAAAGGTGGCCAAGTGTCATATGGAATGGTTTCCTAAATGATTAGGTGTAATAATTACATGCTACTACACAATAATGTAGCATAAACTGGACTGACCTGTGTATGAACTCTTCAGTCATCTGAGCTGAATGTGGCACTTTTTTTTAAACGTTATTTTACCAACAGTTTGTTCTATACAATACATGAATGCCAGCATAGTTATTTGGTGGCGGTTATTAATAACTGGTTATCTGCTTTTTATCGAATTCATTCTGTTTCTAGTCATTCCCTAGCTTTTGAAACAAGTTGAATTCCATTTGTTCAGATAAAGTTTCATTGCCACAGCTCCTGCATTATGCTTATCTAGAGGGAAACTAATCAGAGATCAGTCTAAATCACCACCTGGATACCACTCATTATCAACGTTTAATAAACCCTTTATGTCTGTCTAAATTAATTTAGTTAATCAGTTATTTTTCATATTAATTCTTTTATACATTTCTTTCAACTTTCCCCAGAATGCAAATTAGGCTATGTTAAAATACCTAGCATTTAGGAAATGAGGATTGGTAGTGCTAGTGCTGCATTGGTCTAATGATTGTGTTCAGTTCATTTGATGATGAATGGGGACACCTGGTCCGTACCAGTGGTTAACTATTTACAGCTATTGTTCCACTTTAATCATTAACTAAATTTATTTTAATTTTAAATAGTAACCAAATTAATTACAACAAACTGAACCATGCCTTCAAGTGCTTGCTGATGGTAGTAGGCAAGTGATTATTTTTGTATTCAAAGTTTACTATTAGACAAAGGAAAATTTTAGTGAGGCGATTGTTCTGAATTTTAAAACATTTTGTACATATGTCATAGTGTCCGCTGCCTGTGTATATCATCTCTCAATCAGTGTTATATGTTCCTCAGATTTTCAACCTTTTCTTATTTCTTCCTCAGAAAACAGTCTCAGAGAATGATTCAGAGATAAATTTATTGACTAAGTGTATAATATATTAATTAAATTTTATTTTAGAATGAGAATTTTATAAAATTTTTAATTTATATTAATTAATGTATTCTGGTGTTCCTTTGTCTAAAAAAATTTAAATCCACATTATTAATAAATAGATATCTGATATATGCAATTTATTTCTGATTATTTTTTAGCCCCAAAAAGCTCATTCGTTTTACTCGTGATTGTTTTTTTAACCCGGAAGTGCATGTCATGAGCTATACGAATACGCTTGCTGAGAGAACTTGCCGGTATGATATGGATGATGTAGATTTGAATTGGCTAACCATGGTGAATGAAGATAGAGAAGATTATGGTAATAAATCTGAAATCTTTTTTATTATGCATAGTTTAAAAAAAATAACATTTATTTTATTTTATTTAGTTTTTCTAATCCAGAAGAATTATGTAATGAATTACCATGAACTCCATAAATACACTCTTTGCTAAGTCAAACAAATGTTTGAATATATTATCTGTTAAAACTTCTCATGATATTGCATCTGCAGAAAGTATTTGTTAATCACACTGTACAAAATATATTGTTGTTAGAAAATTTGGTGGACATTATTATTTATTGAACTTTATGATAGCAATATTTTAATTTTTATACATTTCATTTTAAAGCTGGTATATTGATCTGAACTGTCATAGCTTTTAATAATATCATCTTTCTTTCTCAGTAATATCTCTTTTTCCTCTTAGTGCATGTGATAATAAAATTTTTATTTTTATAACTCCTTAATTAAAAAAAAATACAATTAGGCTTTTTCAAGACTAAAAAATGTAATGCTTTGGAATATTGATAGCTGTATAATATTAAAATGTAAAAATTTTTATCTTATCTATTAATATTTCAATCAAATCTTTCTAATTACTCTAAAATGGTAATATGTTTGCATTTAAAAAATAAAGAAACTCTGTTGAGTATTCTTTATTATGCTCTTTTTCCCCCTCTCTGATCCAAATTATTAAGATATTTTAAGTTGTAAAGTCTTAATATATACACAATAAAAGTCAACTATCTGACATTCAGCTAATTGGAATGTTTTATAATCGTATACTCCCTTAAAATTAAACAGATAAGAGATATGTAAAGCCATTTTAAAGCATGTATAAAACACTGTTGGCAAACAGTATGATTAAGCATCAATAATGTATAATAGAGACTTAACTCAGTCATAAAATCTTGGTCTAGGTTTTATGTAAACCTGATTTTGCTTTATAAGAGGGTTTAGTTTTTGTGAACAAGTACATAAGTTAACTGCTGTTTCTGTCTTTTCCCTCTCATTTGGGGGGGGGGAGATTAAATTTGAGACCTGCCTCCTACAGAACAGCATGCAATGGAGAATTTTCTAAGTTGCAGATTCTCTCATTAAGAAAAGTGTACCCTAATGTGCAGGATATGCATTATAAATGGTTTAAATGTTTTTATATTCAGTGTCCATAACTTGTATCAGTTGATTATTTAAGTAAATAAAAAGTGATCTCAGGTTTAAAATTCAGAATGATTGGTGCAAGTTTGATGGACATCTCCATTAGTTTTCATAATTGGATAGGATGTGTACTTTCATATGTTAAAAGCCTGCAAAATTTGTCAACTTTTATGTCTGAACTTTTTTTTTTTAAACCTTTCCCTTCTGAATTTTATAATTTTAAATATAGGCTTTGATTTTAAGCTAATAACTAAGATAATTATTTTATAATTTTAGGTCTGAAATTTTTTTCATTCACTTGGCTTTTCTACCATAAATTTCATTTTCAATATGCTTTACTTTTCATAGTATTCACATATTTAGCATTTTATATCTCACATAACTGGTATCCTCACTTATCTGGTACTTCCTAAGCTTTTCATATAGTTGAGCTTTTATTGTGCGTGTAATATGATCCCCCTCATTGTATTCATATGAAAGAAAGATTGTAGATATATGTAACTGCTTATACTAATTTTAATAGATCTTTTGAAATATAGTCAATCTTATGTAAGTCAAAACTAAATGGAGCGGGGAAAAACTTTTGAGTAGTTAAAAATTATATTTAACGAGACTTGGAAAAACTGTACTTCTAAAGGACTTTGGATTTTACATAGATATGTTGTTATTTTCTTATCCATGAATTTCATGAAAGAATGGTTGTCAGAGCTCCAAGAAGATTGAACTTTTATTTCCACCCCAGTTTTTAGGGAGAACACCCTGGGGGGGGTCTGAGGGTCTCAAACCCCTCTTGCCTACCACCAATCCACACAAGAGGACTTTTGGCTCGCCATATATTTAGAGTGTCCCATGCCTCAAAGACACTATACGTTTACAAACATCCATACCTTCTCCGGGATTCGAACCTCAGGTTCTTGGGTATACTGCAGTAGGCTCCTTTAACCACTATATCATCTGGGCAGCCATAAATATGTGAATCAATATGTTTAACAAAGAGAGAAATTGTTGCATGCATATTGGGATAATTGTTTTGATAAAAACTGTTGAAACACAACTAAAATAAAGATAGCCGAATTTTTAATTATATATACGCATGAAGGATTAAGCAGCATAGGTCCACTTATAGGTGAAAATGAATATTAATAAAATGTTTGCTTTCTGTAGTATTACTTCTTCAGCAATGGGATTATTTCATGAAAACATTTATACAAACAGCATAATAAAAACTTTTCTTTATAGATGGTATATTTTAATTTTTTAAAGAAAATATTTTCATGTTTTAAACATTTTAAATAAAAATAGTAAAGTATTAGATGACTGAATTTTGCTGTATCCCAAATAAAAGCATAGAAGATTGCATTTCTGAAGTAAATTATAATTTTCTTTTTTAGTATATTTTTAAAAACATGAAGTGACATTAGTGCAGTAAATTTGCATGTAAAATTTCTACAGAGAAGGTTTCTATAGTGTCTATGGCTTGGGGTGATACTTCAATCTGTCATATATAGGAAGAATGCAAAGAAAATAATTCAACGCTATTTGAAAAAAGCACAATTTATATGTTGAATAATTGAGTTAAAGAAATTCTACTTAAATGAAAAGCATTAACATAAATTTTAATAGATTTTTATCAGGAAATAACGTGTATTCAACTTATTGAAAACTTTTAATTTTTCAAGTTCTAATAATGAGATTTATGACATGACATTTTTTTGATTGAAATTTTAATTCTTTAATACGGAAATTTTAAAATAAGAAAATTTAGTTTTGCTTTTTGCTATTTCTTAATTTAGCAAAAGAATTTATGTCTTATTTGAATTACAGATATATAAAGAATCTGTCTATATGAATGAGAAAAAGTTATAATAAATTGCTTAAACCAAAGGTTAGTTTTAAAGTAAAGCTTTATTTACAAATGTAGTTTAGTACTGGTAATAGATAGCTTGGTTATAAATCAATATTGAATCTTTAATTATAATATGCATGCCACGTTTTTAATAAATTGTTTGCAATAGTTAATCTGATATTAATTGCTATTTTGAAATTTAAAACAAAAAACACGTGCACATACTTATTGAATTGACATCAAAAGCAAAAATAAATTTTTTGGCAATACTTACACATTGATTTGTTATATGTCACCAGCTGTTCAGGCAGAAAATGAAAATAATTAGTATGAACAAATTATGTATGTAATGAAGTATTTATAGAATGCTGCATTATAACTACTGAATGAAACCTATGGGTGTGCAGTAGGTTGTTAAATGATGCAATTAATAATTAATCACCATTTTTCATAGCATTTTTGATATTACAGAAATAAGCTGAAAATGTACCTATAAAGGTTTCTTGTTATTGTTAAAATTAAAAGTTACAATAGTTGTTTAGTTCTCAAAAGTACTTTAGACTGAAACTGCACATTTTGGTCATGTTACTTGGATTAAGGTGTGGTTGCATTTGAAGAAGTTATTTTAATTATTAAGGACATTGTTTAGTTAGTTATCATAATACTGATTGTTTTCAGAGCCTGTCATTGAGAGAGGCTCCATTTTGATATTATCCAAACCATTTACAAATAAATTTGTGAATGCTTTAATTTTGCAGTGTTTATTTTATTTACCCATTATTTTAATGTATAAAACTGTTCTCATATTGTAATATTTTGCCTTTGTTTATAAATTATAGGCTCATTGACTTCTAAGAATTTATAATATTTTATTTTTAATTCGTTGTGTCCTCTTTTTGTATTTAGGTCTTCAGCCACTAGAAGAAACATTTGTGGAACAAGTTATTGAGGAGTTTGAAGTTCAGGTATAAATATATTTATATAATTTAAATACTGTTTCATTTAATAGCATCATATTTTGAATAAAAACAGAGAATAGATTGTATATTTAAAAATATAAATGAATATTTAATTTTTTCTTCAAAATGCTATTTTCCCATTATATGGAGGAGAAAATATATAATTTTATCATTTGCTCAAAACTTGATTTCTAGGCGTATGTAAATTTCCAAGAAGCAATAAAAAGTGAAGAAGGCTTAGGTATAGAATATGATGAAGATGCAATTTGTGATGTTTGTCGTTCTGTAAGTAATGGCTTTTAATTTTCAAGGGTAATATGAAAAGTATTGTCTAGAAGATATTTATAGCACCAGATAATAGTTTGCTACATGATATTTATGTAATTTGTGAGGATTGTAACTTAAAATTTTAACAATAATAATTATTTTTCTTTCCAATTGCAGCCAGATTCACATGAGGGTAATGAAATGGTATTTTGTGATGCTTGTAACATCTGTGTTCACCAGATATGTTATGGAATTACCAAAATACCAGAAGGGAGCTGGATATGTCGTACGTGTGCTCTTAGTATAAGGCCACCATGTGCTTTGTGTCCTAACAGAGGAGGAGCTATGAAGACAACAAGGTATGATTTGAAATGATTAATTACTTACATACAGTGCTCTCTGTAAGAAAGTGAAATATAAAGGTCACTAAAAGTTCTAATTACATTCTTTGATACAAGAAGAAAAAAAAAAAAAAAATGACGCACCGAGGAGATATAAAGCAAATTGGACACAAATTGATATGCATACAGGTTTTGACGGAAAATGCAAAATTTTACATTTTGTCTGCCAATGAATGCGGTGTTGAACTAAACCGCATCTCATCTGCACAACTGGCAGGATATTTAAGAGGAGAAATTACGATTCCAGGTCATAAATTCTTTACGAATTTCATTCCATGTACTCTGGTAGACAGTAAGTATTCCTCGCATACAGGTGCGCGAACGATATGCTCAGATGTCAGAATTTGAGAGAGGTTATGTAGTTGAGCTCAAAGAAGCCGGTTGTTCTTATTGCCAAATAGCTCAACATTTGAGCAGGCGCGATGCCATTATTAAGCGATGTTGGCAGGAATGGGTGAACCATGGCCGCACACAGCGTCAAGAAGGAATCGGTAGGCCTAGAGAAATGACAGAACGTGAAGATGAGCGATCGTCAGAGCGTCACTCACAGCCCCAGGTGCATCATTATCATCGATTATACGTGCAACTAGTGCTTCAGTGACCGCAAGGACCATTCATAGATGGCTCACAGAAAGGGGGCTGAGGTCACGGTTACAGCCGAAAACAGCGTAAGGCGAAAATGTCGTGGTACAAAACATCGTCGTCGAAAATAAAGCGGTTCAAAAACTTCGCAGTTTAAAAACATCGTCGTCGAAAATATCATGGTAAAAAATAAAGTATCTACAAATTATCGCATGACGATAACATCGCAGACATACTTTTTTCAGGCTTTAATAATTGTAAATGGATATTCCCATAATGATTTGTGAGCGCAAGATGGAAGAAGGATAATTTTTACTTTCATATTTTTTATTAACTTGTAGGGTTTATATTTATTTTAACTAACATTTATTTTAAGCTATCTTTCCTGTCAAGCCTTTACTTTCCCCTAGAATTGCCAATGCTAGAGTATGTAAATTGTAGTAGAGCGCGCATTATATTCAAATTTAGCAGAAGTAAGTTGAGTTTAAATAGAAGGAAAACGAGATTGTAGGTGTGCTTCTTGAATCGCGAACGTAAAGGTTGCTAGGTAGAAATTTAAGAACCGCGCGTTTCGGCCGGTGTGCCTATCTCAGCAGCTTTTGCTAAATCTTTCAACTGCTTAATTAGTAAGCTCGCTGAATCTCAGCGGTATTTTAGAACGCGGTTAGGTTAGTTTAACATCTCAGAGCTTTGTGGATAGTGATCTCGCTATTTTATTCATCCAGTCATTATTGTTCAGTTTTACGTTCTGTTTCAGTTAAACCGCCGGGTCGGCATAGTTTGTGAGCGTCAAGTGGACGCAGCTGTTATTTTTAAAGTTGAATAAAAAGGGCTTTAAACCCTTCTTACGTGCCTGTGTAAATTTACACTTAGTAGCAGTCACTATCACAGTTGCTGACAAGTTGGGGCCACAGGACACTACAAACTAATAAGTTTTTGCTGAAAAAATAAGAAGGAAACTTAAGCATAGAAAATTAATGCAACTTATAGCACTTAATAGAATTTTAAACCGACATAGTTAACTCACAAGGGCCATTAATAAATCATTTTTTATAAAGTTTTTACTGGTAAAAACTTACTTTTTTCATGAAAAGTATAATCTATAAGTTGCATTTAATTTTCTGTGCTTAAGTTTCCTTCTTACTTTTTCAGCAAAAATTTATTAGTTAATAAAAATATGAAAGTAAAAATTATCCTTCTTTCCATCATGAGAATATCCATTTACAATTATTAAAACCTGAAAATGCATGTCTGCGATGTTATCGTTATGTGATGATTTGTAGATACTTTATTTTTTATAACAATATTTTCGACGACAATGTTTTTTAAACTGCGAAGTTTTTCAATCGCTTTATTTTTGACGACGTTGTTTTGTACCACTATGTTTTAGAACTGAAATGTTTTTTCTTTGCGATGTTTTTTCCCACGATGTTTTGTAGCACGGCGTTTTCGGCTTGCGTTGTTTTGTCCGTGACGTTTTCCTCTGCGTTGTTTTTGCCGCGATGTTTTCGGCGGACACCGAGGTCACGGCACCCCTTGCCCTGACTACCATTGACCTCTGTACAACGTCAAGCCCGTTTGCAGTGGTATCGGGGCTCATTCGCTCTGGAATGTCACTGACTTAAGTAGAAGAGTCTTCAGTGATGAGTCCCGCTTTGAACTGAGCCCCGATGACCAGCGAAGGCGAGTTTGGAGATGCCCCGGACAGTGGTGTGATGCTAACCTGATAGGCCAACTACCAGGGGTGATGGTCTAAGGTGCCATTTTATTTCATAGTAGGGCTCCTTTGTTTGTCATGTGTCACAACCTTATAGCACAGCAGTACATCGATGAAGTCCTAAGGCCCGTTGTGTTGACCTTCATGTCATGCCACCCTGGTCTTACATACTAGATAATGCCTGCCTCCACACTGCGCAGATTTCTACTGCTTGCCAAACATTACCAATCAGCTCAGGATGTTGATGATCTAACGCAGCAGTTGGACAGAATTTGGCACGATATCCCTCAGGAGGACATCCGCAACCTCTATCAATCGATGCCAAGCCGAATAACTACTTGCATAAGGGCCAGAGGTGGACAAACGCGTTTCTGACTTTTTCACTTTGTGAAGCTCGATCACTTCAATAAATTATGCAATATTGTTTAAACTCTAATCACTTGTTTTTCTGTACATGTACATCAATTCTACCGATTTTCGTCCCATTCGGATAACTCCTTGGTCTTTTTTTTTTGTGTAAGAGTGTATTTCTTTTCCATAGAGTTACTATCAGTTTGTGAATTATTGAGTTATTTTCTTATCTAGCTTTAGTGTTATGAATTAAATATTCTTATAATTTTCAGATTGTCATACAAATGGGCAATTAATCATTAATTATTTAAGTGTAAGTTAATATGTGTGCAAGAATGCATGTTAATTTATAAGGAATGATACCCTTTTTTAATGTATAATAAATATATATCCAAAATTAGTTACAGATCATTTCAAATTGGGAGTTATTACTTTTTGAATGTATAACCAAATAAATTTTGAATGAATACATATGCATGTTAATGTATAAACTTAAATGTAGATAAAATAAATGATGTAAATGTAGCAGTTTGAGCACCTGTTGCTGGAGTACACAAATGTATGTTCGCAGTAATACAACCATCATAATTTAAAAAAAAAAAAATCTATTGGTAATTAAAGTTATTTGTCATGCACCATCTCATTGGGAGTGACAATGCATGACATATAGTCAACCTTTATTGTTGTAAGTGTGCAACTTATGCAATTTGGTAAGATTAGGAAAAAAGCAAAATTAATAAATGTCAGTAGCTAATAATGGTTAGGAGCTATGCACTCCACCTGAAGATTTCGGAAAATGTGAAGAATGTAACAAAGTGAACAAATATAGATGAAAATTATTAATGAAAAATTATTTGTTACTGTAACCAGCCTCCTTAGTAGAAATCACCAAATTTTCAGAATGTGCTAAACTCTGGCAACCATACACATAATGTTTCTTCGGGTAATCATGCTCATAACAAGCCTTCAGTCAAATTGTCTCCATTTTTGCATGCATTCTTTTGTTGTATTCCAGTGGCTTTTATTAAAAATCTCATCATATTTTATGCCTTAAACTTAATTTTAAAATATGTGTGCTGGTGATGGAAGAAACTGCAATGGAATTTCTTCAGGAGCTCTTGTTACATTAATATGTAAGTGCCATAAATAGTTATATGTTTTCAAACTGACCAGCAAAGAGCCATGAATGTGCTCTAAAACTCGGAAAAGCAAAACTGTAATTTCTGTTTTACATTTGCTACATAGCAAATAATATAATATATATTAAATAAAGTAAGTAATCTGCCCCCTAAATAAAAATTATTTAACAGTTGTTTTTCTAAGAAGTATTGATGGAAAAATATTGTGTTATCATAAAAGTTATGTTTTTTTTTTTCGAATGGAAGTGCAGTTTCTTCTAACTATTTTGTTACTGCTGATACCAAATAACTTTGATTGCAATGGATGTTTGAATAGTCCTTTCTGCTCCTGTTGCATAATTCTAGCATGTGTTGTGGCATAAGTTTTGTTGCAGTGCTAAAAATTCAGAACCCAAAATTTTATTTTTGTTATATTCTTTTGTTATAAAAAAGGGGAAAAAAGTGCTATTAAGACTGCTGGTAAAATTTGTACTGTATATGGGAAAAGGGCTGTTTCTGTTGATACAGTTTGAAGGTGGCTTGAGAAGCTTAAACATGGAAATTTCAGCCTTGAAGATGATGCCTTCTCCAGGTGTCCATCCACTGTAAGCAAGGAACTGTTAAAAGAAGCTATTGCTAAAAATCTAAGGTATACATTTGAGAAATTATTGGACAGGATCAATATTCCAAAAAGGGCACTATGTGATAATTCAAAAAAGTTAGGTATGTAAGATACTCTGATGGGTATCCCATACTTAAACAAAGCAGAATACATTTGCTTGGATTTTGGGGCGTGTGATTCACTGCTTGGGGGAGGGACAAAAAAAGCTGCTTTTTTTCTTTTTTTAAAAATGATGCATTACTGGAGATGCAAAATGTATAGTGTACTGTAATGTAAAAGAAAAAGATCATAGGGTAAGCCAAAAGAACATTCTTTAGCGATGTCAAGAAGGGATCTGCATCACAAAAAAATAATGCTTTGTGTGTGGTGACTCTACAAAGGAAATGCATAGTACGAATTGCTGCTACCAAATTGAACATTAAATTAAAAAATAGTCTTTTCCCAAATGGCAGTTTTAAAAGGTGGAAACTGAAGCAAAGTGTGCAGAACTGACTAATCTTTAATGTGTTATCTTCTATCATGACTATGTTTGGTATCACATTTTGATGAATTTTGGACAAGACCTATT